ACAACAATGAATTTTATCATACGTCAATCCTAACTTGGACATCAAACGCTTTGCCTGATAGAAGTTCTTTGGTATGTTAAACTCCGGATTAACTAGTTCACCCAAAAGATCAATCATTGAGTCCATAGCAGCATTAGGAACATTCCAATCTGATTTAATATTCATTAATCTAACCGCAACTGACAAGGCAGAATGTGGACTCCCTTCACATAGTGGACGACTAGACTCTTCTAATTGATCATAAAAGTGTCATGCTTCTTCATTAGGAGCTTCATTAAATATTGTTCCGGTTCCATCCCACCTTGAACCCCGAAAGCATCATTGATCATTTCATGAACCCTATCATGTTCAACTCTAATTGTTCAACCCTAATTTGGCCATGTGGTGCAACCATATTATATACATCAACAAGCATCGAATTATAAAAGATACCATCCAATCCATCACTTTCTCCGTGATCAATCCATACAAAATATCTAGGCTTAAATCTATTACGGTACAAATGAACCATAACTCTATCTGGTTTAAAAAATTTTAAGCACTTACATACACTACAAGGACACCTAACCAATCCATTAATCTTGAAAATGTCAAGTGTCATTGTATGTTCAATAAAATTTCTAACACCGTCAATAAACTCAGGTTTCAAACCAGCACCAGTTTCATAATGCATATTATACATCCACAAACGATGATCCATCCACAAAAATATAGATATTCAATTATATTATAAATAAAATTTAATAATAATTTTACTAGTAGTAGTCCTAAAACTAGTTTAGTATTGACAAAACCACATTATTTAATTTAACTTATTAAAACAACTTAGTAACTTTAACTAGTTTAGTTTTGACTTAATACAACACTAAATTCACCAACTAAACCACATTAATTAATTTAACTTATTTAAACAACTTAACAACTTTATAACTTGAACTAGTTTACTTTTGACTTAATTCCAACAACTAAATCCATCAACAAAACCACATTATTTAATTTAACTTATTTAAACAACTTAACAACTTTAACTAGTTAGTTTTGACTTAATTCCAACAACTAAATCCATCAACAAAACCACATTTTTAATTCAACTTATTTAAACAACTTTAACTAGTTTAGTTTTGACTTAATACAACACTAAATCCACCAACTAAACCACATTAATTAATTTAACTTATTTAAACAACTTAACAACTTTATAACTTGAACTAGTTTACTTTTGACTTAATTCCAACAACTAAATCCATCAACAAAACCACATTATTTAATTTAACTTATTTAAACAACTTAACAACTTTAACTAGTTTAGTTTTGACTTAATTCCAACAACTAAATCCATCAACAAAACCACAATTTTTAATTCAACTTATTTAAACAACTTTAACTAGTTTAGTTTTGACTTAATACAACACTAAATCCACCAACTAAACCACATTAATTAATTTAACTTATTTAAACAACTTAACAACTTTATAACTTGAACTAGTTTACTTTTGACTCAATAGGATCAACTAGTGTTGGTAGTCATGCTTAACAAATATATTATTTCTAAATTTAAAGCTAAGTGTCAACACTAGATGGACACAATCGATCTTGCAAGAAAATCAATTTTGTCATCAATAGGATCAACTAGTGTTGGTACTCATGCTTAACAAATATATTATTTCTAAATTTAAAGCTAAGTGTCAACACTAGATGGACATAACTCGATCTTGCAAGAAAATCAATTTTGTCATCAATAGGATCAACTAGTGTTGGTACTTATGCTTAACAAATATATTATTTCTAAATTTAAAGGTAAGTGTCAACACTAGATGGACACAAATCGATCTTGCAAGAAAATCAATTTTGTCATCAATAGGATCAACTAGTGTTGGTACTCATGCTTAACAAATATATTATTTCTAAATTTAAAGGTAAGTGTCAACACTAGATGGACACAAATCAATCTTGCAAGAAAATCAATTTTGTCATCAATAGGATCAACTAGTGTTGGTACTCATGCTTAACAAATATATTATTTCTAAATTTAAAGCTAAGTGTCAACACTAGATGGACACAAATCGATCTTGCAAGAAAATCAATTTTGTCATCAATAGGATCAACTAGTGTTGGTACTTATGCTTAACAAACAATCGATAGACACAAAAATATTATCATAAAATTAAAGCTAAATAACAATACTAGATGGACACAAACACATTATTGAAAACAATTGTACTTGAACTTTAGAAATTTAGAAGCACCAACCTTATCTCCTACTTTGATGAAAGAAGCAATATAATCTTGTATCAACTTTTTTAGATGTTGAGCTTCCTCAGTTGCCTAGCACGAAAAGTTCTAAAATTAGTTAAATTTCAAGTTCAAGTTCTAATTCTAAGTTCAAGTTCAAGGTCAAATTTCAACATCAAGTTCTAAGTTTAACTTCAAATTCTAAGTTCAAGTTCAAGTTCAAGGATTAATTTCAAGTTCAAGTTCTAAGTTCAAGTCAAATTCTAAGTTCAAGTTCTAAGTTCAAGTTCAAATTCTAATTTCAAGTTCAAGTTCTAAGTTCAAGTTCTAATTTCAAGTTTAAGTTCAAGTTCAATTTATAATTTCAAGTTCAAGTTCTAATTCTAAGTTCAAGTTCTAATTTCAAGTTCATGTTCAAATTCTAAGTTCAACTTCAATAACTAAGTTTAAGTTCAAGTTCTAAGTTCAAGTTCAAGTTCTAAGTTTAACTTCAAATTCTATTCAAGTTCAAGTTCTAATTCAATACACTAATTAACAATTCCAATACTCAAATTTCAAGTTCTAAGTTCAAGTTCAAGTTCTAATTCTAAGTTCAAGTTCAAGTTCTAATTCTAAGTTCAAGTTCAAGTTCTAATTCTAAGTTCAAGTTCAAGTTCTAAGTTCAAGTTCAATTTATAATTTCAAGTTCAAGTTCTAATTCTAAGTTCAAGTTCTAATTCAAGTTCATGTTCAAATTCTAAGTTCAACTTCAATAACTAAGTTTAAGTTCAAGTTCTAAGTTCAAGTTCTAGTTCAAGTTCAAGTTCTAAGTTTAACTTCAAATTTCTAAAGTTCAAGTTCAAGTTCTAATTCAATACACTAATTAACAAATTCAATACTCAAATTTCAAGTTCTAAGTTCAAGTTCAATTTCTAAGCTCAAGTTCAAGTTCTAATTCTAAGTTCAAGTTCAAGTTCTAATTCTAAGTTCAAGTTCAAGTTCTAATTTCAAGTTCTAAGTTCAAGTTCAATTTAAATTTCAAGTTCAAGTTCTAATTCTAAGTTCAAGTTCTAATTTCAAGTTCATGTTCAAATTCTAAGTTCAAATTCAAATTCTAATTTCAAGTTCAAGTTCTAAGTTCAAGTTCTAATTTCAAGTTTTAAGTTCAAGTTCAATTTATAATTTCAAGTTCAAGTTCTAATTCTAAGTTCAAGCTCTAATTTCAAGTTCATGTTCAAATTCTATGTTCAACTTCAATAACTAATTTAGTTCAAGTTCAAGTTCTAAGTTTAACTTCAAATTCTAAGTTCAAGTTCAAGTTCTAATTCAATACACTAATTAACAAATTCAATACTCAAATTTCAAGTTCTAAGTTCAAGTTCAATTTCTAAGTTCAAGTTCTAATTCTAAGTTCAAGTTCATGTGTTCTAATTTCAACATCAAGTTCTAAGTTTAACTTCAAAATTCTAAGTTCAAGTTCAAGTTATAATTTCAAGTTCAAGTTCATGGTTCAAATTCTAAGTTCAACTTCAATAACTAAGTTTAAGTTCTAATTCAAGTTCAAGTTCAAATTCTAAGTTCAAGTTCTAAGTTATAAGTTCAAGTTCTAAGTTCAAGTTCTAGTTTCAAGATCAAGTTCTAATTTCAAGTTCAAATTCTAAGTTCAAGTTCAAGTTCAAGTTCTAAGTTTCAAGTTCTAAATTTCAAGTTCAAGTTTCTAAGTTTTAACTTCAAAATTTCTTAAGTTCAAGTTCAAGTTCCAAGTTCAAATTCTAAGTTCAACTTTCAATAATAATTCAAACTAGTCCTAAATAAATTCAATTTCAAAAACTAGTCTTTGAAAATCACAAATCCCAAACTAGTCCTCTAAAATCCCAAAATCTAACTAGTGCTAAAATTTTTAAATTCAACACACATACTTAAATACCCTAATTCAATCTAATCTTACAATTTCCAAAATCGAACTTAATTAAATCAAGAAATACCAAATTTCAAAACAAATCCTAAGACACCCTAATTCAAACAAACCCCAACATTTAAAATTTTTCATTCACAATCAACAAACACACACAACAACAATCAAATAATCCTTAATTCAAACTAAACCATCTCAAAAAACCCTAAATCATTCACTTACTAACTAAC